GATAGATTTATGTTCTGGTGTGGTTTGTCGAAGTGCAAATGACTTATGTGATCTTTGTATTTGCAGACTTTTGCCATTCCGGACTTGAATGAACAGAGGGAGCAGATCAATGGGATATGTGTTCTGTTTTGCATTGTGGCTGTGATTAGTTTCTTTTCACAGTTTTTACAGGTTTGAATCAGAATTTGAGACACACTTAAGACATTTAGAGTATATAGAGTATACATCTCTTTGTCAGCTTATAGAGAAAGGCAGAACAATAATCTAGGATTCTGATTGAATGTTTTAGGGATTCGCTTTTGCTAAATCTGGAGAGCTTCTCACCCGCCGTCTAAGGAAAGTGGGCTTTCAGGCCATGTTGAGACAGGAGATTGGCTGGTTTGATGACCCCAGAAACAGCCCTGGAGCTCTGACCACCAGACTGGCCACTGATGCATCCATGGTGAAGGGGGTGAGTAACATTTATCTATAGTATATCCATATATAAAACAATAAGCTTTGATATTGTAATTACATTGTGGTTTTGCATGTGGCTGGTATGGTTGTGCAGGCTACAGGATCTCAGATTGGGATGATCGTTAGCTCGCTGACCAACATCGGAGCGTCTTTCATCATTGCTTTCTACTTCAGTTGGAAGTTAACTTTGGTAATCATGTGCTTCCTGCCACTCATCGGGCTGTCTGGGGTGTTCCAAGCCAAAATGCTGACAGGCTTTGAAAATGAAGATAAAAAAGCCATGGAGGTAGCAGGTCAGGTAAGCTGAACAGAATGCCGGCTCTCTAGATTTCTCTGTAAAACTCAAAGGCTACAGGACGAGATCTCTTAACTTTCTCCCACAGGTGTCCAGTGAGGCTCTCGCCAACATCAGGACTATTGCAGGCTTGGCCAAAGAGAGCTCATTTGTGGAATCGTATGAGCAGAAACTCGAGCTTCCATATAAATCTGGCAAGAAGAGAGCCAAGATCTATGGGCTCTGTTTTGGTTTTGCCCAGTGTGTCATCTTCATGGCATATGCTGCTTCGTTTAGATATGGAGGCCATCTGGTTAGCTCCGAGGGGTTATCATACATGTTGGTCTTCAGGTTGGTGTCTCTCAGTGGAAGATCTATCTTTATTGAACTATATTTTATGTGTTTGTGCAACCATCAACCCAGTGCTCATGTGGTGTTTCTCCAGAGTAATTTCAGCTGTAGTTATCAGTGGGACAGCACTGGGCAGAGCTTCCTCTTTCACTCCAGATTACGCCAAAGCCAAAACTGCTGCTGCTCAGTTTTTTAAACTATTGGACCGAGTTCCTAAAATCAGCATGAGCCACACAGATGGAGAGAAATGGGTTGGTAAATTAATTAATAACATGGAAACATACATAATAAAATAAATGTAATTCTATGTGGTTACTTTCAAATGATTAACCCTAGTTATCCACCTTTAGGACAACTTCAGAGGTGAAATACAGTTCCTCAACTGCAAGTTCACCTATCCAACTCGGCCAGATATCCAGGTGTTGAACGACCTGGTTGTGTCTGTGAAACCTGGTCAAACTTTGGCGTTTGTCGGGAGCAGCGGCTGTGGGAAAAGCACCAGTGTTCAGCTGCTGGAGAGATTCTATGACCCCGATGAAGGGCAAGTGGTATGTCGACTGATTTAAACATTAATTTTACTAATCACAAATTGAGTTTAATCTATTCCAAAGCCATCACCTCTGTCTTAATTATATCATCTTTTATTTTCAGTTGATTGATGGCCGCCCGTCTCAATCAGTCAATGTGCCCTTCCTAAGATCTCAGATTGGCATAGTGTCCCAAGAGCCAGTGTTGTTTGACTGCAGCATAGCGGAGAATATTCAGTATGGAAATAACACATGCAGTGTCAGCATGGAGGAGATTATTGAGTCCTCGAAGAAAGCCTACCTTCACGATTTTGTCATGACGCTACCAGATGTGAGTGGAAACAACTTTGCATGCACTGCCGTTGCAAATCCTGGTTTTTAGTCTGGCTCTGTAAGCCATTCTTGTGCTGTTAACAAGAACACAATTGAAATCAAACGCCCGGACCTACCCACGGGAAAGAACTTAAGTTATTGTGACAAGAGTCCATCCTAGCAGACGTCTCACCTTAACTTACGTGGGAACTCAATTTGCTCCAGAACATAGTTGTTTGCTCTACTTGCCTTTTGGCAAACTCAAACAGATGAGTATGTTTGCTGAACTTGCCTTTCGGGAATCTTAAACAAACAAACAACACAAACAAACAAAGTCTCTGCCCTTAGGTTTGTGGGCAGAGAGGTGCAGATATCTGGTGTCTCTCTACATGCTGCATGAATGCTCAATATCAACTTAATTCTTCAATTTGGCACCTGTTTTATTCAACAAAAGTTTCTTCTACAAACCATCTCAACACAAGGCCTATTGTTTTCATCTTGTGTCATAATCTTCCTCCGCTGGATGTAGTTTGTCCAGTTGGACAGTTGAGTCAATTTTAAGTCCTTGAAATGGTCTAAAAAATGGAAATGTTAACGTTTACAATATCATTGACAACTGGTCAAACTCCATCAGTCGAGGAACATCGTGTGATATGATAGAGAGCTCCAGAACAGCTAGTAAATAGACCTTGTGTTCTAAACTGTCAGCTTAATGTCTGAAACTTGCAATAGTGAGACTTTATCAGATGTTTAACACTGTTTTCACACTGGAAAGCCAAGAAGTCAATATTTTAATAATAAAAAGCGTTTTGTTGTGGAGGTACAGCGTTACAGCATTGTTGACCTTGTGACCTTTTGCTTTCTCCACTTCTCTGAATGCATTTGCACATTTCAAGAAATATGAGACTCAGGTTGGTGCCCAGGGCTCCCAGCTGTCAAGAGGACAAAAACAACGCATCGCCATTGCCCGGGCCATCGTCAGAAACCCCAAGATCCTGCTGCTGGATGAGGCTACCTCTGCCCTGGACACAGAGAGTGAAAAGGTAATACATTATTACAACACCATCAAACAGCACAGACATAAAGCCACTTGATACGCATGATACATATCTCCACCTACTTACGCCAGAAGAACTTACTTAAAGAATGTGTTCCTAAGACAAAGCTCTGTTTTCAGACGGTCCAGTCTGCTCTGGATGAGGCCAGAAAAGGACGAACCTGCATTGTCATCGCTCACCGGCTGTCTACCATCCAGACCGCTGACATCATAGCGGTGATGTCTCAGGGAGCTGTCATAGAACAAGGCACACATGATGACCTCATGGCCAAGAAAGGCGCCTATTATAAACTGGTCAAAACAGGCGCTCCTATCAGCTAGGTGCCTGCAGACGCATTTGATGACAATGATTTTTTGTTATTGTATATTTGAATGAATGTGTCATCTTGGTGGTATCACACTGAGAAAGTGACATTTTTGCCCTCAGAGATTGTACGTAAACCAAACGGAGACGTTTTTTATTCATCTTCAGGTTTAAAAGTAATTTTTAATTATTGTGTGGCTTATTATTAATTCAAATATTTATTTTATATTTATTTGTTTATGAGTAGTTTTTTATCAATGAGTGGATAAAGGTTTTAATTTGGGTTTATTGGTGTATTGTAGGACTGAATGCGGTGGGACACCAGTGTGTTTAGTTCCAAAACCTGGTCAAGATTAAAATTGTTTTATTATCTGTATAACTAATATACTTCTGTAATAAAGCCATTAACGGTTTAACAATTATGGGGCATGTGGAGGAAAACACATTTTCTAGCATGGAGAGCAGCCTAAACGGCCCAACATCGCTCTTTTTATCCACTGGAAGTGCACCCTGGAGGACATTTTCTTGCACCTTGGGCCACTGGAGAGGACATTTCATCATGTTTTATCTACTATAGGGCCATCCAAGAGGGCAACTTTGTAGTCCACCGGGGAGTCTTGTATTACTTTTGCATTTGTCTGCCATTCCCAATAGTGTTCACTTTCATTAGTAGCAACAACTAATTTAACTTTGTTTTTCTCTAACTGGAAAAGAAATGTTCATCATTGCTGAATAAATTAAAGGATGTTGAATTTAAGGGTTGTTTGGTTCTTATGCCTGGATATGACTTATCTCATGAATCCTAAAAACATTCCTTCTAAACATTTCCTTTCTTCCTCATTTCTTCCTGAAAACTGCTTTCTAACTATTTAACTTACGTTGGAGTGAATAAAGGGCAGGCTGCTGAGCGGCCATGCCGTTTCGCCTTCAGCACGAAGTCCTAATAAAGTACCCAGACACACAGATGCTTCTTCAAGCTTGGCTTAGCAAGAAGCCTACGCACTTAGGACAGTTACATCATTTAGTGCCAGGCCTCAGGTGCCACTGGATGCTAAGCAACCACAGACAAGAGGTGGAAATGGGTTCTGCTGGGGGAGTTTAACTAATCTGCCTAATCAAGTTACATCACAGACTCTGTTCTACCTCATTACATTTTGGCTGATTAATATCTGAATGTGCCTGAAGAAACTAAGTGACCCATAATAGATTATGTAGTTCATATAGAGTAAGTTATACGTAAAGTGGATCCACTCACAGTTCGTACAAGGCTGCAGCAGGAGAGAAACCCTGATTGATTTAGTGGGTCATGGAAAAAGAAGGGAGTTTATAGCAAAGTCAGACATGTTTGTGAGCTGTTGTCATGGGGATTGACCCTGTTTACATACATATTAAAATGATCTGAATGCTGATCTAAAAGTTGAACTTATTTTTTTAACTAAGCAGCAATACATATTTTAATAAGATACAGTTATATAAATATCCTCATTTGGTGTTTCTCACTTATGTGCTGGGCAGATGGTAGATGTAAGGTATTGATTGTTAAGACTGAATGATGGAGATTAAAGATATTTTAAAGGTGGCGTATGACTGTGTTGTCCTTGAGAGAGACAGTGAACCGTACATTGCTCTCGGTGTGTATTTGTAGGGAAAATCTAGGTCTACACTTTAGGCAAAAGTGTCCAAAATGAGCTTTTTAGTAAGAAAACTATGAGTTCCAAATTGATATTAACAATTTATTTACAGCAATCTTTCATATCACATCATTAATGCTTCACATGTACACTCATGCAGTGGGTTATACTGTACAATGAAAACAAACAAAACTAAGAAAGGACAAAAACTCAGATAGGCTTCAAGTCAGACAAACAGATTTACTTCTAACCAATTTGTAGTGTAACTTTGTATATTGCAGTTTCAGTGCTTATGTGCAATAACTGTAAATGACAGTCTGATGGGTGGTGGGACAGGACATAACCCATCTGATATCTTAAATGTCTAACATAAGATTGTTACAAAACTTCACACTTCCTCCACAATCTAAGCAAGCTTCCTGTCCTCATGTCCGATCAGCAGATGAACACAGTATGGGATAACAGCCACGACACCGAGAGGAACTGAAGCGCTCTTACAGAATGATAAAAAATAAAACAGAACCTCAGTGTGAGTGGGAATTTTAACCAAGTCATACAGTTGCAGAGATGTGAGAGTTGCTGCCACGCACATGAGTTTGAATCTGGCTTTGTAGCCGTTCTTCCCCTTGCAGCTCTGAATGAACATCCGAGAGTTCACCGCCAAGCCCAGACCAAACAAGGCTCCCAGGTTTCTCACCAGACCGGCAAAAGGTGTGGTGTCGAGATGGATCCAATCTGGGTTAGCGCACCACTTCTTGGCTTTAGCAACTGACCACAGAGGATCAATATCTGTTGATTTGAAGATCAGATAAAAGCAAATAGCAAAAGAGAAAAGAAAAACGTTGGTCTGGAGGTACACTTTCAAGCTTGCATTGTAGACTGAGGGAATGTGATCAAACGCCTCGGCAACCAGCATACCTACACATTGTAGGAAAAAAACAGACGGATTCATTACAACATGAACAACTAAGGTATAAAAACATAGAACAAGCTCAGGAAAATCTGTGACAGGAAGGAAGAAACTCACCAGCTAAAAGGCCGAGGACAACCTGATGTGGGAAATGTGTCGCAATAAAAACCCTGGAGACGCAGACGCTTATCTGAATGACCCAAAAAGCCATCCACAGGCAAGACCTCAGAAGACGAAACCTGCAAAAGGACAGATATATTTAGACATGACCACTGATGAAGAAACCACCGATGTAACTATAATGGTACAAAATAACTGCCCACCTTTGGAAACTCTGCACAGAGGTGACAGTGGAGGAGGAAGTCCTGGTGAAGTTGAGAGCAGAGGTGATCATCACATACCACACACATGATGAGCCCATGGCGTGACCAGATGGACTTCCTGCATGAAGAAACATCAAAGAAAGTGTTTGACATTGCTAGATATTGTTACTTTTAATGGTATTTGTAATAATAATCTAAAATGTATCAAGCTGACCCGGCCCCGTTTCACATGTGTTGTGAAATTGCTCCAAAAGTGGGAATGAGTCGTTGTGGTAGAAGGGAGTTTCCTGCACCCACCAGTAAGGTCGCTGCCCAAACAGAATCCTGAAACACAAGATTAAAGTCTATACAAACACAAAATGATCTGAAAGATGACACTTTTAATCTAACAGTTGGTTTACCATTTGAAAATGAGATTGAGCCAGTCTCCAAAAACAGCCACCCAGATCATCTTTTTGCCCACGTTATGACTGAGATGGAACCAGAGGGGGAAATAAATGGAGAAAATATTACGAGGGTCTCCCACAGTTGACATAAAGTTGAGGAAGTCGTGGTGTTCCCTGTAGTTGTTCTGGAGGTGCTGTATAACCAGCACACCTCTGCTGTAGACTAAATCCATCTGAAGTTTCCTTTCTGTGCGCCAGAGTCTCAACAGCTCCTTCTTCAGCACCAGTCAAAGGACCATGAAGCCCCCCGGTCCGCACCTAAGATAGCTTTATATCTCAACCTGGCATCATAAATCATTCAACAGAGCCATGGCAACGACTGCAAGCTCTTCAGATTGAACCCACAAAGAATAAAATAATGTGTTCCCAAGTCATGAGGGCTCAGCATTTTAAGACAAACACCCTGACTGTGTAGTCATCATTTGTTTTTACACACCATTGCTTTTACAGTTGTTACATATTAGCCATTGTACACACTAAAAGAGAGAGCGACCCAAGTAACCCCTTGGATCCCTTCAGCCTCATTAATATTCTCATTCTCAGCGAACGTAGCAACAAAATGTACTGTATCTGAAAAACACAGTCCATCTGGCATCCACAGTTGGGTTTATATCCAGGGACTCTTTCATCAACATGTTTTCTTTACATTTTAACAGTCTTATTTTTAAGAGGACTTGCATATACAAAATTTGCAGTCATTTTTTTTTTTAGAAATTTGATGTTAATGTTAACTTAGGTAGTTTGGGCGCACTTGAACCTCCTCAGATTCACCACAAGGTGGTATAAAACCGCAATAAAGACTGGGAAGCTCAAGGCGCTCATGGCCGCATTTTAATGTTTATTGAAAAAAACAACGCAATCAAATAGTAGGCACGTTTTCAGTTACGGGACACACAGCTCTCCTGAGATGTAAACAGCGGTAATTATCTGAATTGTGAGCGGAGGAAAAACAAATAAAACGTAATTTCCGGTGTTCAGTCCCCGCCTCCTGTATGCAGACCGCGGATTTTTGAAAATAACGACTGGTTCAGGAGCAAGACGTTGCGTTTAATCACAAAAGAGACCATCGACGACCGTTCATTAAAACAAGTGAGTGTTTCATCTACATTTAAACGAGCTAATCAGTTTATAAACGACTCGGTTGGTTTATTAATTGTTGTAGTTCTTCTGGGTTAGCTACCGTTAGCGTTAACCTGCTAACTAACCTAATGCTGCCTGCTGGGCTTATACGATTATGCTAACCGCTCGAACCGTTTGGCTATTAACGGTTACTCGGGAATGTTCCACACCGTTCCACACGTCAACGTACTCCATTCGAACGAAGCACGTTAACGTTACTCGTCAGTTCGAACGAAGCACGTTAACGTTACTCGTCAGTTCGAACGAAGCACGTTAACGTTACTGGTCAGTTCGAACGGAGTAACGTTAACGTACGCAGTGATGAGGTCACACAATGAGGCTGTTGGTATGGTTCTAGTTTTAAATCAAAATACGGTTAGTGGTTTAAAATGACGATAATTAACGCGAACCTGCCTCAGTCATTGTCGCGCGGCTGTTTTCTGGTACTGACAACCACACTGGTGACGTTAACGCTCGTCACGGAAGTTGATGACGCTGATGTTTTTAAGAAACTTTGACAAAACAGTCAAAAGTCAAAGTTCATCACTAGGCTACTGTGTCTGAGCTGTCAACTCGGTTGTCAAGGAGATGGATCTGTCGACTCGACATCTCAGTTGCGGTTAAAATGCCACACATAATACTATTTGATTTCTTTACCTCGAACAAAACAATCTCATCTAAAGGTCATCTTACTATATTCTTTTCCCCTGGAGCTTTCATTTGTATCACAACATATCGTCATTGTGTGTGTGTGTGTGTGTGTGTGTGTAAAAGTTAGAAAGGTAGATTATGTTATTAGGTAAGGTAACTATAGCTAGTTAAATGAACACCTTTTTTGTTTTAATTAATTCTCGGTCATTCATATATACACTTATAAATTATTATTATAAATGACAACCATACAGTCGTGTAGGTTTATATGTGTGACGGTGGGTGGGACACAATAGGTGCCCTTGTCTGAACATAACAGTAGTATTTTACAGTAAGTGGGCTGCTTCATCTTCGGGGCATTACACTCTGGCTGGGTCCTTTGCTTTTTGTTTCTTAAAATAAAAGTCATTATGATTCTGAAGGAAATTTTCCATCCTGACTTTAAACAAACGATGATATTAACAGCTACAATCTCTAATCAATAAGCATTGGGCATTGTCCTGTCTGTTGTTTTATTGCAGATTGTCTGACACCTGAACATCATGACATCCATTACTGACCCGAATGTGAGTGACAGGTTCACCAGTGCAATGGAGGAGATCCACAACAAACAGCTCAAAGCATATGGGGAGATAACTGATGCCACTACAGAGTTATGCCAGTCCCACAGACAGTTTGTGAAGTCCGCACTCGGTATGTTTGAGATACTATTTCTTGTTTATTGGCATCTCAAAAGTTGTTACCATACACATATACAAAAAAAACAATTATAACAATCTCAGTTAATTTAAACATCCACATTGCAAAAAAAGCTGCCTAAACCTCTGTCTTGAATGGCTGTAGCCCATGTGGAGCATAGTTAGGTTAAAAGCTTTTACATGCACATGGCTCTATTGCAGGTAGTTTTTAAGCCACAAGAGAGGCTGTGCAGAGTTTTTTGTTTTTACAACTGAATTGGTATTCACAGTACACAGGGGAATGCAGACAACCCTATTAATCACTGTAAAACACAGTACTTTTATTTAAAAAAAGAGGTAATGAAGTAACAGACCACTGTGCCAATGAGGACAGGGTGTTCTATTTCTTTGAGTTAAGAATAACTATTATATTTAAATGTCATTCTTACATTCCCAATATGAGTAGTGTCTTGGTTTCTAATTTAACATAACAAAATAAAATAAGTGGTCATAGAGTTCTGTTGCTTTGGTTTTGAAGTATTTTATGACACTGAGTATATGTTAGGGCCAACAGTGTCATTCCTATTTTAGTATGAGAGAGTTGATGTTGTTTTTTCCTTTTTGGGGCAGATACATGTTTAAAGAAATGTAAGGACGATGAGATGCTGTTTGAGACGATACAGGCATTCAAAAGAGGTGAGTTTATGCAATAAGCCACAAAATATCACATCTATGATATACACGTGTGCCACACACTCGGTTGTAGCTGTGTGTTTACAAAACTGATTGTAAAATTGAAGTTCTTGTTACTGGTCCTGCACCAATGAATAGTTTTCATGTGCTAAATAATATTCTTCTGTGTGAAAGTATACCAGAACTGATGCAATGTTTGTCCCTCAGACTTGGAACAGAAAAGTGCATCATTGAAAGAGAAACGGCATGCCATTACTGACATGATATCTGAGATTGAGCAGAAGGAGATGCAGAAAGACGACATTATCCAGAAGATAGAGAAACTTAAAGAAGAACAAGTCAAGAGAAAAGAGTGTAAGTTGATATTTGAAGATGAAATGAATGGTGTAGAACACAGAACATAATTTGCATATGGTTGTTTTGGTAATTGACATCCGTACTTGTTTTTCTTTTCAGTAATCGAGTCTCAAAATAAAGCAAACAAAGACAGACTGAGGAATCTGCAGAAAGCCAGACTTGTCTTTCAGGATCATTTGGGGATGGAGATACGAACAATTCTCAGCAAAACACAATCGGCTAACGGTATGCCAAACACAAACATGGACATTTCCATATTCTGTATCTTTCTTGAATCCTGTTTCTATCACTGTTTTGTTTTTATACATTAATATCAATTAATATGGGGTATTTGGGGATTTGTTCAGAGGATGTTCTACTTGTGTGAAGCTTGTGGCCTCTCGGTTAAATGAGAAATATGTTTGTATCCTGATGGGGTTGCCCTCTTTCGATGCTTTTAATTCCTCCCTCGCACTACAATCACAGGTTTAGAAATAACTAGCTGTCTAGTCACATGGTGTACACTCACTAAGGACCCCAAAACCAACAAACAAATACCAGTTTAATGAGAAATAGTTGTTTTCCCGAGGGGCGTAGAGGGTTTTGCACATCAGATCAGTAGTGGTAGCAAGAGCAGGAGAGTTGACTATACCAGATTGGGGGGGGAAAAGGGGGAGAAAACCGTACATCAAAAACACAGCTGCGTCTTTTGTGAAACGCACAACAGTTATCGTAGCTTGTCTCAAGTAAAGCCCTGACTGTCCTCTGAAGTTGAAGTAAATATTAGTTCAGAAATTACAGAATATGTTTGTTCAAACAGGTGAAAAGTTGCAGTTTGTTTTCCGGAATATCAACCCTTTGGATCAGGACAGCGCCTACGTCGTCACAATGGGGATTAAAGAAGATGGATCATACCAGAGTAAGTTATAAGAAGACTAATAATATACTGTGTATACATTTAAAAGACAAGGCTGACAATATTGCATATTTTTCTTCCTGTAACAAATAATAAAATAAAAAGACAAAAATCAATGAACTGATCCTGCATTGTCATATAGGTTAGTCTTCTCTGCTGTAGATTCAATTGTTGTTGCAGTATTTACTTCTGTTTGAACATTTGCTTCAAACTGCTGTGCCCAGATGTTTTGGCAAAGTATTTAGCCTTATTTAAATATGAAACTATATTTATGACAAACATGTTTTTAGTGGGACAGGGTAGGAAGGTCAAAAATTATAGAGACCGCATAATGCACTGCTGGTTTTGGTCTTTTTATATGCTTTATAGTTATAGTAATGAAAATATGAAATATCACCAGCCTTATCCTGCAACAACCACTGTAAACGGCCTCTATAATGTAAATCTTCAATTTTTCTACAGTTGTGTCGAGTGACCCCATGCTCGAGTGTTTGCCAGTCTTGGAAAGCCGGCTTCAGGAGACCAATAACTTACCAGCATTCCTTGCAAACATCAGGAAGGAGTTTATCTCTCAGGCACGCCGCTAAGATTTGATGGAACGGCAGATTAAAAGAAGAAGTTCTTGCTGTAATGTGGACTAATGTCAGCAGGGAGCTTTCAGTCTGTATCTTCAGTGCAGGTTTGTAAACATCAGCTGCCTTGTCATGATTTTAAAATACACGTTTGTGGCCGGTTAGTAAAAGGCCGTATTCAAAAATTGGGACTTTTAGCTAAATAAACACTGCTGTTAATTGTATGCCCAAGGTCCTGCTACAGTTTAATGAAACTGTGTATTTGGCCGTGTTTCAAAACCTGGAGTTTGTCCTTGAGAGAACAGGTGTTCTGGTGAATGTGGTGGCGGGGCTTCACTGTCTCTCTAAACCCTGAACAATCCACTAGTTTACTGTAGAAGTTGCTCTTCAAAAGTAAAGGTAAATAAGAGAAGATGTATACAGTTTTCATTTATTTTCTCATGTACTTACTCCGTTTGGGTATACACAGGGTTTCTGCAGGTTTCAACAGGTTAAATTTAGGACTTTTTAAGACCACTATGAATGCAAATTAACTCCATAATGGTACAAATGTATGAAGGAAATTCTGCATTGGTTCCACCATTACATATTTTTCTCAAAACACATTTAATAGTGGGAATGAAAAATGTAACTTTATACAACTAACGTTAAATTAATTTATTTAGACCTGTCAGTTTCATATTTAAGACATTTTAAGGCCTAAAATTCAGATTATTGGATTTGAGACTTTTTAAGACCCGCAGACACCCTGTACAGTATACAATTTCCTGGACTTATGTCATCACATTAATCTATCAAAATACATATTTATTAAATACTCCCTATATTCTGTACTCTATGTGGCATAAATAATGAAACAAATAATTTGGGTTTTTAAAAAAAATCGCATATAGTATTTAAATCCTAACAGAATTACAAAATATCACAAAAAGGTATTGAACTGTTAGCAGAGGAACATGTATCATTAAATGCTTTTGTTTTTATTAACCATTTTAAAGCACTGAACATCATTAGTCTGTACA